TATATATATATATAAAAATCAACAAATTTTTGTAACATGATTGACAAAATTAACAAATTGTTAATCAATTTGATAAAAAGTAAGTTTTTATCATTAATATATCAAACAGCGGGAATAATAACTTTCAAATACATAAATCTATCGAAAATAGATTTTTTACAAATTATAATATCTATTACAAACTTTATCAACAAACAGCATACATACAACAGAATCTGTCGGAATGATAACAGATTAAACGCAAAAATGTTCAGAATCTTATAATTTTATAAGTATTTCAATATAGTTTGTATAAAAATTATTAAGTAAGGGCAAATTGCTTGATTTAATAAAAATAGATGTAGCTTAGTTGTGAATGCATTTGATATTGTTTACTGCAATATTTTGTTCAAAGTTATTGAAAAATTGTCAGTGTATTACTACAATTTGCTAATTGGGTTTATAAAATACTTAAAATAATTTTATATAATACTATTCAACATTAATTTATATTTTTATATTTAAGCTACAACCTTGAATAACAACAGAAATTAAAATATAGAAAGAAAATTATATTTAGAAAGCGAAAAATTTATGACATATAATTATACAACTGAGAACAAAAATATCGCAAAAATTACGGTAACCTATCAAATGATCAATTAGATAAAAATATGTTTATATTCGGATATTCATACAGTAATGTGTGACAATTCGCACAAGTTTCTATTACATAAGTAAAAAATACGTTATTTCCTTATATCGATAAAATCTGTACATTTTGCTGAAGTAGACAGGTGGATATCAACCGGCGAAAAGATAAAAAAAAATGTTGTGAATATTATTCCAATTTCAACGGCTATTAGTTAATTCGTCTTCAAAGAACCAGTGTAATGACAATGATCAACTAGTCGAATAGTTTATCAGGACAATTGTGACAGTTGAGACCGATAAGGTGTGCAAAATAGCAGATGACAGCGCATAGTTATAGTATTGGGCGTCTTCACTCTTCAATGTCGCGACATAATTTCTACTTACGACATTTTTCTTCTGTCCATGGCGAATAAAGCACTGATCAGTCAATTTCTCGCGCGAATTATTCAAACAATAAAATTTGTCCTCAATCGATTTTTTTAATGATACTATACGAACATTTTCTTCAATGTATCATACAAAAATGCTTGCACTTCTTTCAACAGAAGTGTTCTGGAGCACTATCAGCACCATACGAAAGATTTTACTCAATTCAATATTTTAGTTCCGCTAGTCAACGCATATGCGCCAAAGTGGCGCTAGAAATAAAGCTCTAGTAGAATATCTATAATAATCATGCAGGTGCCTTTTCATGCTGATACTAAACGCTCATTTTCAAGGCTTAAATACAATAGACAATAGACACAGGCAACAGGGAATAACGAGTCATCCAATCAGATGTGTAAATTCGACGTTATTGCCTGTATTCATAGTCATACTTAAGGATTCTTAAAGGATTTATCTTTAGATGCTCAGCAGCCAATGAAATAATTCGTACAGTATCAAAGATAAATTTAAGGAAGCCTTAAATATAAGGCTTGACTATGAATACGAGTATAAAGAGTAAAAAAAAAAAAAAAAATCTCAGAGCTCTAATTGGACAATTCGTCATTCCCTGTGCCTATTGTGTTTAAGCGTCAAAAGAGATCACACGACTTATTTTGACGCCGAAAATAAGCATTGAACGTCAGTATGAAAATGCATGTTAGGCCGCAGTCCCATAAGCGGAAATTAAAGCCTGCGGCACACGATACTTGTTTCCTGCTGAATTGTTAGCTGGATTAGACTCTTGTCACCGTATTGGCTGCGATGTTGTCAGTGCCAATACACGAACCAAATATCGATTTATTATTTCCTTGAAAAGTGGACGATGTATCCTAAGGCTACGTTCCAAAACTTGCTCTCCGAGGAAAATTTTACTCGAAATATGTAGTACGCGTAACGTATGCTGCATATAGAGTAAAATCTTTCTCGGAGAGGAAATTTTGGAACGTAGCTTAAAAAAAGTAGACGTTGATATGTAATTTACATCCATTTTGTCAGAGGGTAGTAATGCGCGGCAGAATATGGCGTTACAAACGTTAGTTGCGGCGCTCGAATCAGTACTTTTTTCCGATTTTTCTTTCTCTTTCTCTCTTTCTCTCTCTTTCTTCTACGGATCTTTTGTAAACCCTAGCGATAGATTTTAGTTAGTGGTTCGTTTAATGGTAGTTCGGTAAGATTAATAATTATCCTATGTTTACAACGACATCGATTATTGCTCATGTCATTAGATAATTGCTCGCATTATCAGATAAATGCTTATATTGTAAAATTTCTTCTCGTATTCTAGAGTTTCTCGTATTCTAAACTAATGCGATACCGATATCCATCATACGCAAGCAATCACATCTCTACTTTAGAAATCTGTACATTCTAAACAGTTAATGTTAGTCAGCTCCATCCCGAAGACGGAGGCGAACATGCCTCACCCATAAAGATATATGCGCCAGGCTATCATCCAATGAAATCGTCCCTAGAAGGGCGATGGAAAAACTCAGCAGCGCCTGCAGGGCGTTTCTGCAGGAATGAGCAGTTTCGCCTCGAGGCATCTCGCGCTCACGGGAAACACGAGGAGGCCTACTCATTTGCGTCTCGTCTCCAGACGCACGCTCTGAAAAGATAGAGATTAGAATTAAGATTGGATATTGACTTGCCAATAATGCTGAGACAATCAAGTAATTAGATTGTATTGCCTGCCTTATCGGAACAAGTCAACTCTATGTGGGACGCCGGCAAATTCGAACTCGTAACAGTGAGTCACGAGTCGAACGCACAAGGCGTCATTTGAGTTTATATTAAACTGCCTTATGGTTATTATAGAATCAATGAGTAACATTTATTTGAAAACTTAACGATTTCCTACCAATCTTTTTTTCCTAGCGAGCCAACATAGATGACACAAAGGACTAATAGTACATGTGTCGCGTGCTATTAATCTATAAAGGGAGATAATTACTCCAAAGGAATTCGTAACATAGCAAGTACTGACTTATGGAAGCCCCTTTCGAAAATCAAAATTTAGAATCTCTTAAACTTTATAGAAATGAATTACACTTTCATTATTGCAGTTGTGACAACAATTGGAGAAATTTACCATAATTATTAATATTAGTATATACATATATTATATATCTCCCGTTTAAATATTAGATGTACAACTTTGCTTCCGCCGTTTTTTTCCGAAATTCGAGGCTTTATTGTAAAAAACTGATTATACATTTATGATTCAAAGTATTGTCCATCGCTGGCCACTACTTTCTCCCATCTTTCGGGTAGCGTACGAATCTCGCGACGAAAAAACTGATCATCTTTTGAGGCTATCCACGAATCGATCCAATTTTTTACTTCTTCATAAGACCGGAAGTGCTGATCGGCCAGGCCGTGTGCCATTGATCGAAACAAGTGATAGTCAGAGGGAGCAACGTCTGGAGAATACGCCGGGTGGGGTAGGA